TATATATATATATATATATATATATATATATGAAAAATGATTTTATTCAAAATAAGAAGAAAAGTACAGAGGAGGGGGTGGCCGTCCCCAACAAATGGCCAAAGAAAATGACTAAAAACAAAGTCAAAAGAAACCAATATAAAAACCCAAAAGTTGAGCGCCCTGCCAGTCTCCATAGATAACCCAATATTTATCTTCTTATTCTTGGAGTATACAACGCAGCACCAGCCTCCATAAATAATTTAGGCCAGGATTAAGGGCCCTGCCAGGCTGCCCTTTGTCAAGGAATCCTCAATCAAGCAAATGGATGCAGGTCTCTTTTCCTCAAACCTCTTCCATCATCATGTGCAATATGTCCCAGCTCTGTCGTAGTACCTAGTACCTCTGTCCAAGCTGAATGAGTTTCCTAACCCAGGTGTTAAAACACTCCAGAGAAGGCTAGCTGTAGACACTCACAAAATGAGCTGTTCTATATAGAGTGTGCAATACCTCAGTATGCCGTGTATACCTGACCCAATAGAGCATGCCAAATAGAAATCCAAACACAAGGAGTAATTGCACAGATTTCACCAAGAGGCCATTTGAGAGCAAACAAAAACACACGGAAGACAACCTGTTCTAAAACCATATGCCAAGGAGCACAATAGTAAAAAGCCTAAATTAACAGAACCCTAAAACCATTCAAGATTAATCAGAATATTCCTTTTCCTGCCCTCCTGCCAATTTCTTCTTAAGTTTCTTTTTAGACTTTTTCTTTTGGTTTTTGGTTAAAGACTTGATTGTGGACTGCTTCCTGGTTGCTAATTCAGGTTTGTTTGGACAGCATTCCTTGAAAAAGTTCCTAATATCTTCTGCCAAGTTTATCTCAGAACCCTCTGATCTGACCTCCCATACCAATGGGGATTTCTTTCTTCCTTCTTCCAAAATCTTCGCCTTACTTCGAGTAACTATTTGAGAAGGAGAGTAGGTATGCCTACCCTTGAATTCTCTCCCCAAATCGAAAGGTGTTTTGAACATCCTGGAGTAATCTATTTGAAGAGGTTTGAGTATGTTGTCATTGAAGGCCTTGTCTTCTCCTTCTGAGTGCGTATATAGAATAGGCCCCTCTCTTTCTTCCCGGATGTCTTCTAGTGCATTGTTACTTAATACCATGTTCCCATCATCAAACTTGTCAACTCCATCTTCCTCGTTTGGGCTGCCATCTCCCAGGTCATGAACATGATCGAAGAGAGCTGCAAAGGAGTTGGGCTTAAGTGGGATGAACTCAGTAGCAAATGGGGATAGACACACTCTAGGAAGCTGGAGGTATTGAGTGTTGTATGAGGAAAGAGAGTCTGCCAAAACAAAGTACTCCTTTTGCTTATGCAAAACCAGTTCACCCGAGCTCTTTTGGATACTGCCAGAACAAAGATCAGAGGTGTTTCTAGGCTGTGGATACTGCCCTTCCAAAGGTTGAGCTCTTTTGTCATTCTCAAGTTCGTTGTTGTGTATATTAGAGCTTAGCTTAAGATCCTGCAATGGTTGCTCAAGGAATAGAGTGTCTTTAGAAGCAGGTGTAGGAATCTCTACACAAGTGTGTACTGGACCAGACACATTCTCTCCCAAGCCAGAAACCTCTAAATCTAAAGCCGTTGATGCTCCTACTGCTTCCCCTAAAACCTCGAACCCCTTATCCTTGTTTAAACACCGAGCTCTCTCAACAAAGGATAAAAGAGCCTTAAAGAACAGACTAGGCCCGTCATTATGAACTCCAAAGGGGATATGAATGAACCTGTTACCTTCTTTTCTAGCTTCTAAAATCCGAATGTAATCCCCCCTACGATTAGAGCCAATAGCAATTTCAAGTGTTCTCTTAACATCCACTTTAACACAGGCCCAAGTAGAACCGGAAACCAGTCTAGGAAGAGATTCCAATACCCAATTGAGTGAATCAGAGTCAAACCATACATGGAAACTTCTTCTCCCCCTATCGGTAATACTGAAGACCTTATTGTAGAAAGAATAGAATAGCTCAAATACCTTATTAAGTATTCTGAATTTGAATCTGATGTTCTTGCTAGGCCATGGAGAGGTGTTCCCTTTCTGACCCGGAAGGATTAATCTCTGTTTAGAAAGAACATATGAACTCTGCAGGTTAATTACCTCGGGAGATTTGAACGGCCATCTGTAATCTCTCCTGCGACTCTTTGCTGTTCTGATGTTGTTATATGCGTCTGGGTTGTTGACTCTTTTGATGAGGCCAAATCTGTTGTATGACTTGGGATAGAGTTCACTATGCCGGGAAGGAGCATCTGAGTACAGATATGATTGTTTCCTGGATCCATAGATTGGCCGCTGATTATCCGGACGGAGATTGATTTGGCGACGATGACCGCTGAACTCGCCGGACCTCTCTCGCTCTAAAAACCTGGCCATCGATATATATATATATATATATATATATATATATATATATATATATATATATATATATATATATAGGGGTTGGATCAGGTGCATCACTATGAAGGAAATAAGAATGGGTGAGGGCCGTTGGATTAGTAAGATCTAACGATGCAAGATGTTTGTTTTTTTTAAATTTTTTACGTATTATTAATGGGAAGCGTGTTAGTCGGGAGATGATTGGCTTAAGAGATTTCGAATAAGGGTATTTCAGGAAGATTATGTAGCATAATATACCGTGCACTGATGGGATACTGGCCAGATTCCATGATTAATTGGATTACCAAGACTGCACTGGGTTTTAGGCGTTAATTTAGCATTGTTCGCCGCAAAAGGTGTATCGAAGATTGCGATTTTAGCTGTGCGGCCGCTGGCATATGAAGAAATGAATTGTGACGGGAAGGAATTCTAAAGCATCAATGGCGGAACAAGATGCGACACCAGCACCAAGTGAGGCAACTCCTCTGCGATCAGGTTTTTTCTGTAATTTTGTGATTTTTTGGTTGTGGGGCGTGCTGCATGGATGAAAGGGGAGTTCATATGTGTACTTGCATGTTTCAACTTTGGTATATGATTTTAAGAAAAGAGGATGAGTGTGCACTGTGATGAAATATATTTGATTTTCCTAAATTTTTTTTTGAGATTGATGCTGGAAGTCTATGATGGGTTTGATCGAATCTGTGCAGTTTTGTTGGGGGGGGGGGTGGGTGGGGGTTGTATGTTTAATATTTAGTAAATTCCAAATTATTTGATGAATATGGTGCATAGTGTGTATAGGGTATGTTTTACTGCATTGGTTGAGTACTGTAGTGCATTAGTTGTGTACATGGGGCACATATTTTTGTGAGATTGAAATGTAAGAATGCATGCATTATGGTTTTCCTTCGATTGCTTAATATGTGGGTTGTGGTGCATTGCAAGTAGTGTGTGGTGCATATGGTGTTTTATAATGTGCAATGGAGACCTATGTTTGTTGGATTGATAGCCTAACAAAGCATCCGTCTTGATTTTTATTCCGGGTGCATCGTGTGGGTGGGGGGAGGGGGTAATTAGGTGTGCATTCTGTCATGATATTAATGCATTTGTATTGGAATGTGATGTAATTTAGGTTATGTGCTGTAATGTGTTCAGATTTTGTAATTGTGTGAATATGTTACATTAACAGACATGGCGAAAAGTCTGCATTTTTTATTCTTTGTACATCATTATTTTTGACGAGAAAGGCCTTGGTGCGAAGGTTTTGAGGCTTAAGGGCCAAGCTGCACGCCGTTTGGAAATGCCGTGGAGAGATGCAAAGACGATCCATGATTATGGGGTTACAACCATGAGGCATATGGAGACCTACATGGGTCAATCTTTGAGAAAATGGGAATGTGGTTTGACAAGGGGTGATTAGAAACCGATAAATGCACTGAGGAGCAAATATTGTGCTGCGATTGTGGAGTCAGATGTTAACGAGTTAAAAGATGTGATCTTGAAGAGGGTCAAGGAATGTAGCCGGGCATGAGAGTCTGTTATGGCGTGGAAACTATGCATTGCCTATTTATAAGTACTCCTGACATTTTTATTATTTAGAGATGCTATTATTTTTGGGCTAAGCGGTGTTTGGGTGTTACCCAATTCACTGGTTTTCTGTTTGGTTATGTTTTTTTGCAACTTGGATTTCAATGGTGTCTGTTGACTTGTTGGTTTGAACTTATATGTTTAAATATTAATTTTATAATCATCCAACTTTTTTCACTAACATTGAAAACAATTTAGTAGAGTTGCTGGTTTTTAACTGCATACAAAGAAACTCAAATAGTTGCATTACTTAAGTGGCATAATGTGTTCTGATGCTTTTGTGCCGCATTAACAGAAAAACATACACCCACATGATTGGGTACGATACGTATAGAGGATCGTGACAATGATATAATGATCATGTACATGTGATATTCTAAACGTGGTGAGTCTGATACACTTAGTAATAGATGATAAGTTAGTTTGTCCAAACATGGTGAATCTGCAACATGTGGTTTTTGATAGACTAGAGCATATTTGAGTTTCTTTGTATGTATAGTGTTACAAGATGCATTGCCTAGCGGTATGTAATGCATAATGCATGCCGTTTTGTGCATTACAGCGTACCAGCTCGTTTGATTTTATTAAAATGGTTGAAAATATTTGTAGGCAGTATTTAAGCGGTAACGTAAATTAGAGAAATAAACAGTGCCCCGAGGGTCATAACATGGTAGCCAACCTCTTCCAACAACGCCACCCAGTCATCCTAAACACTAGTCTCGAGTCAAATTGACCGTGCATTTTATTTAGGGGTAATGGTTCGGAAATCATCACGGCCCTGGATGGGCTGGCATACGAATGGGTTGAGACATTCTAAGAGTTACTCCTCGAGGACATGATGTGTGGTGCATATTGTGTGTGGTCTAAGTGTTTTTTGATAGACTAGAGCATATATGTAGTTGTATGTACAGTGTTACACGATGCACTGCCTAGAGGTGGGTAATGCATAATGCATGCCGTTTTGTGCATTACACCGTATCAGGTCGTTTCATTTTATTTAAATGGTTGAAAACAATTTAGGCATTATTTAAACGGTAACATAAATTAGAGAAATGAACAATAATAAGAAGTGTATGCAAAGGAATTGTCTAGGATATTCACCTTGAAAATTAAATCAATGACACTAACAAAAAGCATAAGGAAATAGAGATGTGTAGAGGCTAAAAATAGTATTTTATTGTAAATATTACAAAATCATGATGTTGATTTATTAAGCGAACAGTTTCGACTATCGTGGAAGCCTATTTGATTGCAAGTTCGGCAAAGTCTCTTATGTTTCTTGGATTGTTCGATGGCTAATTCCTTTGCGCTTTTGATTCGCTTACCACTTCCCTTGTTATGCACCTTTTCGGGGGGTAATACACGGACCTCAGAAGGGGAGGCTATGCCATAGAAAGATTCAAACATCTTGTTTTTTATACCCTTTAATTCATCAGAAACAGACAATCCTTGCAGCTTTGTCTTTTGTGCTCTAATAACCTTAGAAAATGATCCCAGCAAATCGGAGTCATTCTCAACAAGCGCCACGCATGCGTGGATGTCGGACCATAATTTATTGATACTCCATTTCGTGTTTTCTCGTATGTAATCCTTTTCATAATCAGCTGTAGTTGTACCAACGGAACGATACACAATGTCATTCTTACACCATCTTTTGGAAACGTACAACTCTGGAATGTTATGGCAGCCCATAGCTTGAAGCACAACAAATATATGCCTACATAGGAGCCCAATACGCTGGTAATGCTTGCAGGAACAAGATGCACAGCCCGTGTCAGAAGAATACATGACAATGAACAACATACCTCTCATGTCCTTGANTTTCTCGTATGTAATCCTTTTCATAATCAGCTGTAGTTGTACCAACGGAACGATACACAATGTCATTCTTACACCATCTTTTGGAAACGTACAACTCTGGAATGTTATGGCAGCCCATAGCTTGAAGCACAACAAATATATGCCTACATAGGAGCCCAATACGCTGGTAATGCTTGCAGGAACAAGATGCACAGCCCGTGTCAGAAGAATACATGACAATGAACAACATACCTCTCATGTCCTTGATAGTATATTGAACTTTATCCTCAACGTCATCCACGTGTGCGACAGAACAAGAAAAACATGCAGCACAAATCTCTTTCTGAACATTATAAAACACAGTCAGTGTGTATATGGAAGCAGCATGCCTCTCAATAGCCAAAGGGGTTTTGAATACTGGTGTGCAAGACTCAGTTTCAGCGTTCAGTAAGGCATTCCTGTGGCGTTGCGCATCCATAGCACTTTCGAATTGCATCAAAAACTCTACAAGACTAAAATTTTGGTTAGAGAACTCCCCGAAGAAGCTATTCTCACTCTCGGAACGTGAAGTCGTTCTCAATAAACCAGCCATAAATAAATCTCTAAAATATGCTGGGATCCAAGACTTTCGAATTTCAAATAACTTGATGAACCATTTATGGCTGACCAAATCATAATCATTCATGACCTCGTGCCACTGATTCTCAAACTCAACCAGATCGAGATAATGGCTCCAAACAACTTCATTGAATCTAGTCAAGAACTTGGTATCCTTATTTAGAGGTTCTCCAACTTTGCCTCCTAATTTTTTAGTGATATGCCACATACAATAGCGATGGGTAGTATGTGGGAATACCTCACTGACAGCTGTATGCAAGGATGGGTCTTGATCTGTTATGATGCATTTGGGGTCGTGATCCATTGCATCTTGAAATTGGCGGAACACCCATGTGTAAGATTCTATGTCTTCGGTGCGAAGTAGACCAGCCCCGAACATCACGCATTTATGGTGATTATCCACTCCCGTGAAAGGTGTGAACACCATGTTGTACCTATGATTATAAAAGAAAAAGCATCATAAATGAGAACCACATTAGACATATATGAAAACGAGGAAAGGAATATAATGTATTGAAAATACGATTACCTGTTTGTCTCATACGTGGCATCAAAGGAGAGAACATCACCAAACATAGCCTAGTTTTTCCTTGTAACTGGATCACACCAAAATAATCGTATTAGCTGGTCACTTTCGTCAACATCGTACGCAAAACGGAAAGCAGGACATGTTTCTTGTCTTCGGAACAGTTTATCAATGATCATTTGGGCATCCCCGCCAGCAACATATGCTTTTAGGTCTCTTTTGAGGTTCTTGAAATCAATTGATGTTGCTCCTATATTGTTGTAACTTCCAACTGACTCTTTAAACAAACGGAATGATTTCATTGTCCCAATATTTGCTTTAGTGCAATTAAGCATAAATTTTTTATGACCAATATCAATATTCCGGTTGATTTTCAAGAAAGGCCTGGACATTATTGATAGCATAGGAGATGATTGTGACGTTCTTCAAATAGGGTTATGGTGTAACCAGAAGTCCCACAAAGCCTAAAGATTACACGCGCACGACAACCAGTGCGGTTGGATATGCGTCGACGTTTTGTTTTGCTGCCATTCTGGGAGGCTTCAACTTGTTTATGCGCTAACTTCGCATCAGGCGCAAAATGTTTATGGCCTTCACGACTACAAAGAATATACTTCCATACCTTAACACCGTCTGAAGATGTTGTCGTGGTGCTCATACGGATATCAAACCCTGCAATTTCTGAAAAACCATTCCCACTCTTGGCTTATATTTTGATGGGCATTGCGGGATGAAGATATTAGATTTGGGGTGAAGCATTTGGTCGGTATTGGGAGACGTAAAAGATGCATGATTTGAGGTTGTGTGGGCATTCGTGCTTGCATTTTCGGCTAAAAAGGTGATAATGAGACATCATCAGATGTGATGGAGGAACAAAAGATAAAGTATAAACACTTAAACAAGTATAGATATTACTAAAGAAATCACTTTTTACAGCAAAAAAAACGATGAATGCTACCAAAAACATGTCACATTCCCTGTTTCATCACACTATTGTTGTTGCACTCTAAATCCGTTAAAAAGGATAAAGACTATATTCTGGAAATGGAAATGACTGGAAATGGAAATTGTGAGGATACTGCAAATAACTAGAAAATGGAACTCGAAATAAACAAATCACACTATTGTTGTTGCACTCTAAATCCGTTAACAAGGACATCGGAAATGGAAATGACTGGAAATGGAAATTGTGAGGATGCTGCAAATAACTGGAAAATGGAACTCGAAAGAAACAAAGTGATAATTAGATAGTACCTGTGTCCATTTCAATGGCACTTTAATTTCCGATGGACAATGGTTGATGGATTGTGTTCCTCCTTTCTTGCGATTAATAAATATTTCCATGAGATGATAGATTATGGTGATCAAGTAACGTAAATTGGATGATCGAAAGGAATCAGGGGATGTGGGCGAATTCTGCGGAAGAGAGCGATAGATGCGATTGAGTGGTTAACCGATAAAATTAGGAAAATACAATCGTGTCCCTATATATTAATCGGCAAAACAGATCCAAGATATAAAATGGGGGAAGATTGGAGAGTGCATGTTTATTCATATTTCTTTCACTAGATCCTATTCTCATATGATCCAAATTATATATATATATATATATATATATATATATATATATATATATATATATATATATATGAGTAATGCTTATTCAAGGAAAGGAATAAGCATTACTTTGATGAAAAGGAAGACAGGATAAGAAGAAAGATTCTCCAAGGAAAGGTTCCTTTGATGACTCTCTTCACAACCACTCACCTGAAAAGGGTCTGGCCATGCTTATTGCGGAAATCCATGATATGCCAATGCAAGAGGTGTGAACTGATGAAAAAGAGAATGGTTATCACTCTGATGGTGGAAGCAGCAGAGATATAATTGATCAATCTGCCTTAACTCCCAAGGTCTTCCAAATTCCTGCTTCAAACACTGTTTCAATAGCAGTCCCTAAAAAACACACTCAAGAGGATGGGTCCTACTACCAGTATGATAACAAGAAGTCACAAAGGACATAAAGAATTCATATTCTACAGTCTTATATGATATTGTTATTTTGGAATGTGTGTGGAGTTAGATCATCTCTCAAAAGGATCAAGGGGTTAAAAAAATCACATAATTTTTGCTTCCTAGCAGTCATTAAACCCATTGTTTCTGCTGACCAGATTCATTTCTACAGTAAGCAGATGTGTTTCTCTAATTTCTTAAGCTCCAATTCTAATAAAATATGGGTTTTTTTAGAATGAAGACACCATAAATCTCAACAACAGCACTCAAGGGGATCAATTTCTCAATTGTGACTTCACAATTACTGACACTAAGGAGGAAATCCGTATTACCACAATTTATGGTAAACACTCTGGCAGAGATAGAAGAAACTTGTGGCAGGAACTGGCAACCCTACAAACCACTGCTGCTCATTGGGTGGTTGGAGGAGATTTTAATATTATTGCAGAATGGTCAGAACACAAAGGAATGAACCTCCCTAAACAAGCAGATATGGATGAGTTTAAAGAATGCATTGAATCCTGTGATGTCACAACGCCCCCAACTATAGGTTCTCCCTTCACATGGTCTGGGGGTAGGAAGAATGGAATGGTTTTTAGAAGACTTGACAGAATTATGGTGAATAACAAAATTCTTGAGTACTATGATGATACTTTTGTCAAGCACCTCAACAAAGCTGCTTCTGACCACAAACCCCTTCTTTTACAATGCTTACAAGAAAATACTGGTGGGCCTAAGCCATTCTGATTTCTAGACTCCTGGATAAATCATCCCACCTTCCATAAATTGGTAAATGATTATTGGAGCAACATTCACCATTATGGAGGAATGGTTGGTTTGGGCCTCAAGCTCAAGGGGCTTAAACAAGTACTCAAGAAATGGAACTCAGAAACTTTTGGAAATATTTTCTCTAACCTCAAAAAAGCAGAGGAACAAGCCAGAATTGTTGAAACACGGGCATGTCACATTTTCGTACTAAAGCCGTGTTTGTTTTTATGACAGGTTTTGATAATGCCAAACCGCCGTGATCAAGTCAAACTTTAAATATACAAGGCGAAGAAGGAAGACAAGAACAAGAGCTAAAAGAAGACCAAGACAAAGACCTTAGTCTTAGTGTCGTTGAGTCAGTCTTCATTGTGATCAAGACCGACCCAATCTTTACACCTTGGCTCTTTAGGCTAAAATCCTTCATTGCATTTATTAAATCATAAAAATGTTTTTTAAACACGTTTAAGTCATTAAAAACACGTGGTAAATCTTTGGAGACTCCGGCGATGAATCAAGCGAACAAGAGGAAGAAGAGGAAGCAAATCTTTGTCTCATAGCTCAAGAAGAAGAGGAGTCCGCCAACAACGAAAACCAAGAGGTACGTATTTCTTCTACCGGTTCTTATTCTTTTGAAGAAATACAAGAAGCTCTCCAAGAGCTTTATGACGAGTTTGTTAGCGCTTCTAAAACCAACAAAGCTTTAAAGAAACGTTTTTCTAATCTTGAAATTGAGTTTGAAAAACTTCAAAAGGAAAACGAAAAACTAAAAGTTGAAAACAAATTTTATGGTAAAAGAAGCGCCGACAAACCCGAGAGCTCTACAAAACATTGTGACTCTTGCATAGCTTTGAAAGAACAAGTTGCTGAATTAGAAAACACGGTGAAGAAATTTAATAAACCACATAAGGATCTTAATCTCGTTTTTGATTCTATGCAATACACTAAACAAGGAATAGGTTTTAGGAAGATTGATGAACCTAAAAATAAAGAAAAAGTTGAGCACAACCGTAAACCACCTAGAGCTCAACCTAAGAAAGATAAAAATAAAAATAATAGACAACCTAAACAAAAG